TTTATCTTCTAAATGCCCAATTAGAAACTTTCGTCGTATAGTGGCTTCTATCTTTGTATTTTATTTTGTTGGTTGGAGGATTTCATCATAAGCTGACATCATTTAGAGAACCGTTGGGAAATCTGGGAGTACTGATTCTCTAACTGATGTCAGCTCATGATGAAATCCTACAACCAATCAATCAAACAAAACCCCTACAAAACCAATACTTGAAAATTGATCTGACGCTCACTAGCGACTAGACCAATTCAGGTAAAAACCTGGAGTTCTAGTGGGAAGCCGTGACCAGTAGGGTACGGCAAGTTGAGGGGGAGGCGGTAACTCATGGAAGAAGAAGACATTGCGAAGTGGTCGCGCTATGTCATGAATTGGTAGAACTTAGAATTCATGCAATGGCCATTGGATCCGTCCCAGTGAGTGGCTTAATGGTCTACAAGCTCGCTAGCCTTGTTATCAGAAGGTCGTGGGTGCGTACTACTGAAGCAGAGCCCAAAACTAGGCTGACAAAACAGCTGTCCAGTACTCCCTGACTGGTTTTCCAATGGTTCTATAACAAATGTCAACTCATGATACAATCCTTCAACCAATCAAACAAACAAATATCCCTACGGAAAACCAATATTTGAATATTTTATTTTATTCAAAACTTTAGAAATACTTTAGTTTCCCACACATACAAACACGCATACACTATAGGTATACTTGTATTTACAGTTATACTCTGAGGAAAGATCAATAAATACAGTTGTTTTACACACACTTGCACTGTAGCTTCACGAAAACAAAATTGGTAAATAGAAATGCAAAAAGACGGAAACTCAATGAAATACGACTACAATTTACATCACCGCGTTTTCTTGTCGTTTTGATTTGCATGTTACTTTGCTTGATTGTCTTTTGCATACATTTGTCTGGTTCTTTTCAAATCTATTTCTTCCATTTCACGAATCAACTTTCGTGTTGAAAAGCACATGAATTAAAACAAAAAAGAAAAGTTTGATTAGACTAATGTTTAATTTAACTTTTTGTGATGATAGAAAACTTTACTCCAAAATAAAAATTGAAAAAAAGAAATTATTGGAAAAACAACCAACAACAGATTGAACGAAGAAATATGCCTTCCGTTTTCCAATGGTTCTCTAAGCGATTTCAGCTCATGATGAAATCCTGTTGTAACGACAGAAGACAAGGGCCAGGCAACAAATCGTTTATTGAGAAAATCAACAGATATTTATAGATTTTTATGTACATTTATTACTAGTGCTATTGTCAGCAGAAAAACAGCGTCTTCTGATTGGTTGTTTTCTTGCTCAAGGTTATTCTCTCATCTCTTTGTGACCGTTTCCCAGAAAGTTAAGCCATGTATCTGCAAATCGTATTTGCATACGTTAAGTCTGCTGTGATTGGTTGTTGAGTTCCTCCAAGTTAAGCTTTGTTATTGATTTTTCTCATGACCGTGATTTGGGACGTAAATGTTGGCGTGAATTGCTGTCTACAATTGTCTTGCAGACAGCTTTCACCACACTGTTGCCAATCAAATGAAATCCCTACTAAAGAGTACTTGAATATTCCTTTTCGACTGGTTCCTATTCATCTGCTGACTGTACACTAATATGTAGTTTCTTTACATCAGAATTTTACCAAACATGATTTTGTTAGATGTCTGATTCACTGAGCTAAAGTTCTCTGTTCAAATGAGACACTAAGCGAAGAAGTCGGTAATGTTCATGATCTACTAAGTAGAAACGGATATCCGGTTAAATTCTTGAACAAACACATGAACTCAACAAGTAAAAGGTTGAAGGTGTCCACAGTTCCCCAAAAAATCCATCTTCCTACGATTGCAATTCACGAGTGATGTCAGCAGTGCAATGTCATCACAGAGTTTGAGAAGGGATTTCAAAAGGACATTCATTGCATCTAATCTAGGCTGAATATTCACTTGCCGACCAATACTCAGTTCAAGGCATAAAGGCAAGCTACCCTGCTTTGTCTTTTCTATGTGTATTTGCCAGTTTAACTGCTCGTGTGGAGTTAATTACACAGGGGCTTACGATCAGTGGGCTTATGATCATACAAGTTCATCATCGAATTTCTGAACACCTTCCATCTTGGTTTGACAAAGAATACTAGCTCATCTCGTCGATACTGGACATCAAATTGACTCTAACAAAGCATTAAAAGTTATTTATCGTATATCACTCGAACCTTTCGCCGTATGCTCTACGAGTACGACTTTCGCATACAACATAAGATTCAATCGGAATTCATCTGGACAAGTCAAACCTGTGTGTTTTCAGAAAGAAATTTTGGAGCCCCTTTTCTTTACCATTGCCAACTATTTAATATGTATTAAGTTTTCAAAAAGGATTTTCTCTCCTCCCTTAGTAACCATCTTTTGACTTTGTTATTTTATTATGTGTTCAGAATTCTAGGTAATTCTATTCATTTGATTGTATTTCACTTAGTTCTTCCGAGTCATCCTATTCTTCTTCGACACCATTATTTCAGGAATTTCTTGATTATGTAATAACTTGTCGTTCACCCCTATGAATGAACTTGTCTTGAGTTCCGCTATCTTGTTACTAACATCTATTAGTTAATTGTTTTGATCCATTTTAACTTCTTAATTTCACATCTATACCTAAAACTGATTAACTAAAATAACCACTTGATTGGTAAAATTTCGATGTAAAGAATTTCTGTATATTAGTGTAAACCCAACGGCTGATGAGGAACTAATTGAAAATTATTATTATTATAATCCCCTTGAGTTCCGAGTGGAACATAGGGCTTCGACAACATGAATCCACTTTATTCCATTTTCTGTCATCCTCTTCAGATTGGACCACAACTGCCCACAATCTCTCATCTCCTCCTCACCACAAGATCTCCTCCATGACACCCTCATACCAAGGACCCACTCGTCACTTCCTATTGGAATTCCACTAGCTTGGTGTCATTCAACGGTCTCCTCCTCCATTTTCTCCTACATATTTGTTGAGCAGTCGGCTCTTCGTTGGTTCGTCACCTCCCAGGGTTTCTTGTTGCTAATTCTTTATGGCTGGCCATTTTATCTTCAATATGGAGCCACAGAAGGCAACTGTTGATAAAAATCTGAAGTATTTTGTTGGTAAACATTTTCATGAAACGCAGTGCAAGTTTCTGACCTGTGCAGAAGGATCAAATTCACATCAGTGTTGAAAAGCCGAATCTTGTTCCTTATGCTGGCTGAGTTAGTGAACAAGATTTCCAAACTGGCTTTATGTTGATGAAGGCGTATCTTGCCTTTCCGATTCTGACTGGCTTTGACATCTTCATCCGTCCCACTGGCCTGTAGTTCAAACGATGCTTCCTGGCTGGATAAGTGTAGGGAGTAACCTCTATTAAATCTCTCCCGTTGATGGTGATTGCTGCTGGTTGTTGTTGCGGTTCGTTCGTTATCTTCATCATCTACCTCCGTCTTCTCTTTTTTCACCTGCAGTCCTGTCTTCACTGCCTGCTTCTTCAGCCATTCTGATGGTTTTCACCTATAAGTCTTCGAGTTTGTGTGACATTAGACATATATCATCCACAAGTGACATCCAGATCTTCTAGAGTCTTCTTGTTAGTAGTACAGAGTATTACTGTCCTCTCATTCCCTTGTTCAGTCTGACGCCTAATCCAGTCCACCACAATTAAGAATATCATCGGTGATAATAGGCGGCCAGCTTGTGTTACTCCTGTATGTAATTCGAACGCCTCACTGACTTTCCTGTTGTGGATCACCTCACACGTGGCACTGTCATAAAGCTGGCTGTTGAATGAGGTCGATAAAGCCTTGGGCATTGCACGCCATTGTGTTGAAGTAGTTTCCAAATTACTTCTCAGTCAACGCTGAGTTGTCGAAGGCCTTTTCAAATTCCTAATTAAAAAGGAATGCATATTACTTTGCTCAATCTGTTGTTTTTTTCTAAATGCTTATGTGGGAATTTGGAAATTAAAGGAAACTTTGTTCATTTTGAAAAATTCAGTTTCATTCTTCGATTTACAGACTGTTTGCACTGAATTGATTGACTTTAAGCTGATGATCTTCACAGAAAGACATCAACCATCTAGAGTATCAGTGTTAACCAAGTTTGCTTTTAAACACCTGAGACTCAAAATTTTGCATTCAAAAAGAAGCAGTTATCAGTCTGTCATTGCTGCTCTGGTAACCTGATGTCATTACCACCCTGTCTCTTATTTGATTGCTCAATCTTTGACTTTAAACTCTTGGAGTATTCGGTACTTATAGGCTTCAGGTAATTTATTGGTTACCAGATAGATGATAGAAACAGATTCTCCAATGTTACCTTTATAGCCTGTTTGCTCCAGATGGGCTAAAATGGAACCATGAATAGTTTTTACTACACTTTTATTTAGCCACACCATGGTAGGTGTTCCTGAGGACGAAAAACCAAGTTCCTAGAGAAACATCCAGTATAAGTCACAGAGTAGCTAAACTCAATGACCAATCTCTTGAAGGAGACAAGGCTAATGAAGGTCTGTAGATTCATTCGCTCCTGAAGCATGAGGGCGTCAACAGTTCGGTTAATTCAACCTTTGAATAACCAAGAAGATTCATTATAATGTTAACCGACAGTTAAAAAGAGTGATGTTTCATTTCTGACATCAATATAAATATATATACGAACAACTATAGGCATTACGTTAATCAGGGGGACAGCCTCAGAGAGTGTGGAGCAATTCTTGAAAGTATGGATCTTCATTGAAATGACTCTGAACAAGTAAATTTACGAATCACCAAGAAGTATTCGACTTACTATTCAAAAAATTGAGTATGTGACAATTTAACTATAATCATCTGCAATCCATTAGTGTTTAAAATTGACGAATAATTTGTAAAACTTGACAATATTTCACTTGTATATAGTAGCTAGGCACTGATGAGTTGTCTAGTATGACAATCAAACGTCCATAACTAAATTTGAAGATTAGCCACGAAAGAATTATTCTACCTATTTTGCATCACTAGGATCCTTAAATATATTCAGGAGTGTTGTCTGAGTGTTATGAGTTTTATCCACCGCAGATTTACTGCCAAGATTTGAATGCGTCCACAATTCATGATGATGATTAATCATGTTTGATTGTAAACGTTTTTGTGTCAAAGCAGGTAACTTCATCAAGAATTCATTTATAGAGACAAATCGGGTATTCTTAAGTTACACCAGCATTTAATCCAGTATCTATTTTTGTTTAGATCAAGTGTGATCCGGCAGATGCCACACAAACTCGAAGAATTGCAGGCGGAAAGTAACTAACTGACTGAAGAAGCAGGAAGCGAAGATGGAGGTGATGAAGATAACCAACCAACCAACTGACAGCGACAGAAACCAGCAGCAATCACCATCAAAAGGAGAGATTTGACAGAGGTTTCTTCCTTCACTTATTCAGCAAGCACGGCTTCAAACACGGGCGGAACGGGTGAAGATGTCAAAGATTGTTAGCCAGAATCTGAAAGACAAGATAAGCCTTAGTCAAACCGGTAGCAGTTTGGAAATCTCCTGAACTGACTCAGCTAGCGTAAAGAACAACATTCGCAATTTCAACACAAATGTCAGGTTAGTCAGTTAGAAACTTGGCAAACGACGTCACGAAAAGCATTTCCAACAAACTACTGTAGATTTTTATCAATAGCTGCTTACTTCTCTGACTCCATTATGAAGATCAAATGGCCGGCCTGCCAGAAAGAATTGGCGACAGGAAACTCTGGCTGGTAACAAACCAACCGAGGGCCGACTGCTCAACATATATGTAGGAGAAAATTGAGATGGATGGATTGTCCATACGTTGAGGAGGCCGTAGGATGACATCGCCCGCCCGCCAGGACACCGCTCGAGTGGGATCCAGATGGGAAGCGACGAGTGGGTAGTCGGTGTGAGGATGACCTGGAGGAAATCATTCGAGGAGGAGGAGATGTTAGATTACGGGTAATCGTGCACCCAGTTGAAGAGGATGGTAGAAAGTAGAAAAAAGTAGAGATGTGTTGTCGAAGCCCTATGTTCCACTCAGAATCCAAGGGAACAATAAAAATAATACCTAAGTAAGGTGAGATAACAGCTGCATTTTTTCTCACTATCGGGGTGTATTGGATGTAGACTAACTCTATCAAAAGAGAAAAATATAATTAGTAAAACTGACTACACTTCAACTTACTTGTGATATTTCTGTTTCAATAGTAGCTCGATATTCTTTCACTCTCCCGAGATTTTCCATTTGTGCTAAGAATTCACGTCTTTCATTGACTTCATCCATTACTGATTAGTACACAGGGGTGGAAATCAAAATAATGAAAGTCACTTTATTTCTAAAAGTTTGTTTGATAGAAAAAGTGAAGAGAAATTCTTATATGTAAAATCTCAGCGGAACTGAAATGAGTAATTCCAACTTTTCCTGGATTCAGCAAAATTGGACGAACTTCTTCCGAGAAATTAATCGAAATTAAAATAACAGAGGTTTTACATATAAAAGGAACATCTGTTGTTTTTAAAAACTTTGTCCAATCATATGAGTCATGAAACAGTCATCAAAATATAATGAACAAGAGTGTTTTAGCTGTGATCAAAATTTCACTTCACCTCAGACTTACAAATGTTAGTCTACTTTTGTTAAACACTTTATATATTTTGATGATTAATAAAATCCGAATCATTCTGCTAAAGAAGCTGTGGCTTACACAGCGAAATGTTCAGAAAACAGATCTTGTTTTGATTTTTCCTTGAACACGCTGGGATAACTTTTTGTGCGTCGGTGGCACAGAGGTTAGGACTGTCGCCAACCATGCACATGGTCCGGGGTTCGATCCCCTGCCGACGCACACCCGATATCCGTGGTTGGCCTGGAGAATTTGGGCTACCGAGATCACATACCGAAAATTCCATACTTGTACCAAAACTACAGTGTGGAATCAAGCTACAATCAAAAAATTAATATTAATTTATAATGATTCAGTCTGACTCGGCGTTCAAGTTATTCCAAAAAATTCGTAACATCTACAGTCTGGAAACTTATAACTTCAAACAGAGTGTAGTTTTTATCAGAGTTTTAGTGATTACGTTGGACTAGAGGTTCATGATCGTAGATAACTGAATATGAAAATATGTATGGGTATATGCGGTATAAAATGGTGTGTGTGTATGTGTGTATGTGGCAACAGTTGTAAAACATTTGTTAGCCTCTCCATAAGAAGATATAGATAATCGGAAAATTAGGATTTAATTGGTAGGTGGTGACTAGCAGTGGAATCCAGGATAACGCGCATTTCCTCCTATTTGGGACTCGTCAACTGGACGTACATGGATTCCCCAGTGAGTGATGACTGTGTTCTCACCGAGGCTCGAACCCAGTACCCACAGTTTCCAACGCCAAAGCGTTATCCACTAGACCACTTGGGCCACGAGAGTCACCCCTTGTGCAGTGGGTGATATTAATTATTTAATTGAATTTTTAACTTTACCGTCGATTGATTGAACCGAGGTAGTCGGTCTCAAATTGACATGTTGGCTTCTTGTGCAGATGCTTTGACGATGTCTGGGCATGGATAACGCTTTGGCGTTTGAAACAATGGGCACTGGGTTCGAGCCTCGGTTGGGACATCATCACTCACTGCGAAATGCAGGTACATCCAGATAACGAGTCCCAAATAGGACGAAATGCGCGTTATCCTGGATTCCACTGCTAGTCACCATTCACCAATTAATTTCTGATTATATGCCCAGAAATCGTCGAAGCATTTGCACAGAAGTCGACATGTCAACCTGAGACCGAGTACTTCGGTCCAATCAATTGGCGGGAAAATCTAAAATTGAATTAAATAAATCGGAAACTTAGATTGAGTATGATTAATTAGTGATACATATTCATTTTTATCTATTAATCAGGATTTGCCATGCATCAGCTAACATCATGCCTTCACGTCTGTTCAAACTGTTAGTATCTAGAATTTTATGATTAGACGTATTTTCAAAATTATGGTGTTTAGGATTAGAGTTTAGTTGAAACAGCCTGTCGAACTTATTGATTTGTCTTCTTTTTGAAAATTGAAGATAGAATTTTTCTTTCAACTTAAATATTATGGTTAATGAGAGTCTTCACTTCTGGTGTAACCAGTACAGATAAGATTTAATCAATATTGGAAATTTGCATTCGAAATAATTCCATATTTTTGGTTGCTCTATGAATGTGTTCTCGCACAAATGTTATAGTTACGGAATGAGTTGCTTTAATCGACCTACTGGAGTTGTCAGGTGACTTGACAGCTACGGCTTTAGGATATACATTCCGTCGCATACAATGGAGATTGAAAACACGGTGATTGTACCAATCACATAGTTTCTTCTGCGCCTAATTATTTTGGAACTATTTTGTCAAATCTCTGTCAGGGTTTATTTTATTTTTTTATTTATTTTTTTTATTTTGATTTACAGCTTGATTCCACACCGTATTTTCAGTACAAGTATGGAATTTTCAGCATGGATATCGGTTGCCCAAATTCAGGCATACCATAGATATCGGGTGTGCGCCGGCAGGGGATCGAACCCCGGACCATGTGCATGGTCGGCGAGAGTCCTAACCACTGTGCCACCGACGCACATGAATTTTTATATGAATTATTTTGCAATCGAATTAAATTAACATAGAAACTATGTAATTGGTGCAATCATCGTTTTTTCCAATCTCCGTTGTTCGGTGGGGTGAGTATTCATGAAAAACGAAACTTAAAACTTCTTAAGTATCTGCAGGCAGCTCAGAAGTGTATTGAGGTAATATTTCATTACTTCAGATTTGATAAGTTTCAAGACTGCGTCATGGGCTGATATTAGTCAGAGAACCATTGGAAAAGCTGAGAGTACTGCTAGACAATTGTTTCGTTCTATTTTGGGACTCTTCTTCAGTACGCATCCACCCAGATCGGGCGTGGAGACAAATACTCACCAAAGACATTGGCTAGCGGTTACGGTGTGTCGTGAATTGGTAGAAGTTAGAATTCGTGGACTGGCCATTGGATCAGTTCCCAGTGGCGTAACGGTCTATGAGCTCAATAGCTTTGTAACCAGAAGGTCCTGGGTTCGAATCCTATGGTGTGGGTGAATAATGCTGCAGAGTCCCAAGCCAGGACGAGACAGCAATCCAGTACTCCCTGTTGCTTTCCAATAGCTCTCAAACTGGTGTCAGCTCATGATGAAATCCTGTGACCAGTCAAATCCCTACAAACCAACACTTCAATATCACCTCTGATGTGCTTATTTAAAGCATTGCTTTGTAGGGATTTCGTATGATTGATTGGTTGGAGGATTTCATCATGAACTGACATTAGTTACAGAACTATTGGTAAACCAGTCTGGGAGTACTGGACAGCTGTTTCGTCAGCCTAGTTTGGGGCTCCGCTTCAGCAGCATGTATCTACAGCAGGGAGTTCAAACCCACGACCTTTTGGTCACAAGGTTAGCGAGCTTGTAGACTATTAAGCCACTGGAATCCGATCCAATGGCCAGTGTTTGAATTCTAACTTTGCTAATTCCCCACCACTTGGCAATGTCTTCTTCGATAAGTAACTGTTGTCACCTTCGACATGATGTACCCTACTAGTCACGGCTTCCCACTAGAATTCATGGGCCATTGCATCGCGTCCTAGTGGCTGGTGAATGGTCTACGAGCTCGCCTTGTGACCCGAAGGTCCTTGGTTCGAACCCCATGATGTGCATGCGTGCTGGTGAAGAGTCCAAACTAAGCTGACGAAACAGCTGTCCATTACTCCATGACTGTTTTTCCAATGGTTCTCTTACTGGTGTCAGCTCATGATGAAATCCCCCAACCAGTCAATCAAACAAAATCCCTACAAAACTGGCACTTGAAAATAAAGAGAAATAGTAAATAATCCTGCATCAGATGATCGCTTTAAGCAATTGACGTATAACTTACATTCTTCAAATCTATCCTTACAGTTTTCAGATTGGTTATCATGGCCGTCATCATCATCCCCAGTGACTTTCGGATACTTCAATATACGTCGACTTAAATATTCTAATCTCCCATCTTTAATTTGATCATTTTTCAATGATTTCACTGTTGGTTCTTCACCATACGTCATTAAGTGGGCTAAACGTAATTTTTCAGAAGGACCTGTATTCAGCCCAACTAGGAAGAAAAACGTATAGAAAGAAAATCAATATAACTCAACTACATACATTACAGTTGTTTAAATGCAAGTGATAAGCTTTACAACATTGATACAATTGAAAACTCTTTGGTAACTATGGAAACCTCGGAAGGTTTTGTAGCAGAAAGAAGAATTATTAATGGCGGGTAAAAGATAGCGATATATATCACATTGTCACTTATCCCCCAAAGCACTTTATTTCAGTTCTATCGCTCTTGTGGTGCTGAGTAAATCAGCTGTATGATCATATACTTGCTAAGAAAATTCGTTTCTGAACACTATCCAGTCTGTCTGACAAAGGGAGAATATAGGTGTGTCTTTGGCTCAATGTCAAAACACCTTGTGAAATCAAGTTACTCAGTTTCATTAGAAAAATCTTTCAAAAACTTATACAGCATCCAGTCAAGTTTCTCAAAAGGAGTGACATCAAGATATTTGGACATAGTAGAAACACTAACGATGCAAAGATTGAAGAAAACGCTATTTATCTGAAAGAAGTACACTCATCATCAAAGCATATAAGCAACCTTGAAGGAACTCATATCCATTTTGAGATTCGAACCCACGGCGTCACCCAGTGCTGCAGTCAGAGACGTTATCACTGAGCTATTCAGGCCCGTGATTGACCTCCTGTAGGACTGTATTGGATATTTTTTATTGTACACTAGCCAGTCACTAGGGTAATATGTTCAGTCCTTTCTTTGCTGTAGACTGAAATCTCTCAGTCAAGCTTGCAATGTGGCTAGGTAGCTCGCCCTCACGGTGCACTTTCAATTGTTGGCATTAGATGTTGGAGGCGGTAAGCCTACAGGAGGTCAATCGCAAGCTTGAATAGTTCAGTGGCAACGCCTCTGGCTGAAGTACTCACTGGGTGGCTCGGACTCGGATCTCAGATGTGAAATGAGTTCCTTCGAGGTTGCAGATTGATGAATGCCAACTAGCACGAAACCTAGATCTAAGGCTGGGCTTCCTGCCGATTGTCTCCAACCATCTAATATCAAAAATTCCCAGTGCACCGTGATGGCGAGCCACTTAGCATGGTGGCCACATTGCAAACTTGACTGATAGAATTCAGTCTGCACCGAAGATAGGACTAGACACATTACACTAGTTATTGACTAGTGTCCAATCAAAGAAAGAAGTACATTCAATTTGTGTTTCTGCTATGGTAAATAAATCCACTATGTTTTCTCAATAAATTCCTTAGTACTCAATTGTGGTTATTATCTAAAATTTCCGTTTGTCTTCTTTATTAAACTCTGGTTCGTTTTATTTAACTACATCACTGTAATTCACCATATTTCGATCTTTTCACTCGTTTACGTTTCAGTGGTTTTGACAATTGTAATGGGTCAAATTCCATTTTTACATATGTAGACAGTGACATGTATGAATATGTTTATAAACTTTTTATTTCTTTTATTCACATTGGATTTTAAATAGCAAAGCATTTCACCAGTCAATATGAGGTTTATTATTATATAAGTATGCCTTACTGATAAACTCTGTTCTGCATTTTACAGTTTTGTTTTCTTGTGGGCTGACTTTAAGATGATCATCGGATGTCAATTCAGCTTAGCTTGCACTATTTTTGACATTAAACATACGAGATCAATAAGCTGGTCAGCAAAACTCGTTTATATTACTGAATTCCTTCACTTCAGTTACTTTCATTGAACTTTATTTTAGTTTTATTGATACAAATATAGTTCGAATGTCAATTCTTTTGAGGAATTTTTCGAACTACCTGTGTCAGACGTTTTTAATATATCATTAGTATTTTGACTGGACAATAGTGACTAGTGTGACGTTTCTAGTCCTTTCTTTAGTGGAGACTGAATTCTATCAGTCAGGTTGTAATGTGGCCACCATTCTAGGTAGCTCGCCATCACGGTGTACATTGTTTGTGATGATATTAGATGGTTGGAGGCAATCGGCAGGAAGCCTTGGACCCAGGTTTCGTGCTAGTTGGCACTCGCCAGTCAGCAGGGCGTATCCGCAGCCTTGAAGGAGCTCATGTCCCTATCGAGACTCAAACCCGCGTCACACATTGCTGCAGCCAGAGACGTTACCACTGGGCTATTCGGGCTGGCGATTGACCTCCTTCTTGTAGGCTTCCTGTCGATTGCCTCCGACCATCTAATATCATCAAATCAATGTGCACCATGACAGAGGACCACCTAGTGGCATGATGGCCACATTGCAAACCTGACTGATAGAATTCAGTCTGCGCCAAAGAAAGGACTAGACACGTCACAACAGTCGCTGACTAGTGTCCAATCAAAATACCCACTGAAGTCCTACAGGATGTCAATCGTGAGCCCGAATAGCTGAGTGGTAGCCTCTCTGACTCCAGCACTTACTGGGAGACGCGGGTTCGAATCTCAGAAGGGACATGATTTCCTTCAAGGTCGCAGATATGCTTTGCTGACTGGTGAGTGCCATCTAGCTCGAAACCATGGTCCAAGGCTTCCTGTCGATTGCCTCCAACCATATAATATACATCATTAGTACAGTATGTAAAATAGTACCTCTAAGTGTAGAATATAGCCCAACAAGCAATCCTAGAATTCTTATGACACACTGGCTCAGAAGCAGAGAAGTACACACTTAAAATTTGAATTGCTACGAATAAGTAGAGATTACAACAGTTTAATACAGTAGCTCAGAGAAATAAAAGTGGTGGAAAGCAGAGAAATGGATTTATTATCCTTGGATGTAATAAAACACCAATAAGCGATGTGAAAAGAAAACAAGTCAAAAAAAGAAATCTAGTACAATTCTTCAGATGCACCTACCAAGAGGTTTTGAAGTTTTTTAAACAGAACCCTGGGACTTACTTTATATACCTGTACATTCTCCCTTAAATATGCTGAATAATACAATAAATCTTAGTATACACGGTTCATATTTAAAGAGAGCAAATCGGTTCTTAACATGCTAAAATCGACATGTAAATGGATTAGGTTGTTGTCTCACGGGGTGATTTAAATAGTGTATATCTTGAACTCTGTCGGGTATCTGAGTCTTTCAGCCTAGTCACCAACAGTTTTGATCAAGTTTTAGGACACTTCTTAACATTTTTATTTGAAATTTGAAACTGCTGCAGTTATAGTTTTAAAAAAACGGAAAGAAAAACATAGAAGGCCAATACTAACCTTACTGGAGCAGTGCATGAACTTTCACAAGCAGCATTAGTCTTCTAATGCAGTGGAAAAAGATGTCATACAATAATTATATGAGTTGAAGGGAACGACTCAGGAATGGTAAAAACAACCATTTATTTCATGGTTAACTCCACCACAAATCAAAATCAGTTAGAGGACCATAAAGTGGAGGTCGGGAGACGGTTTTCATGTGTCACCTTCGAGCTTTACAGAAAAGAGTCAAAATCTGTGGACTCCTAGATTCTGACTGGTCAGGTGGTGAGAGTTGTGGTTCCATAACCTGAAATCAAAACTGGGCAGCTATTTCGTTGCATCTCAGGACTTAGCAGTAGTAAACGTTCACAGATATACTGAAGGACGAATTAAAACTATACAGATTAAACAGCAATGTGTTTCACTTGTAAATCGCATGTTCTGAGTTCGAACTGCTGTAGAGCGCTGACTAGGTAGAGTTAATTAACTAGAGCGTACCAGAAGTCATTTGTTTCCTAGAATGAAATGGTTCTGTAAGTGATGTTCATTTGTGCTGAAAACATGCCTAGAAATCAAACAAATCTGCATGATCTCAGTAAGAATATAAGTTAAACGGACTACTGGAAGATTTGTGTCATTGCTACACACTAGCTGTTAGATTGTGCTTTAAAATATAATGAAAGGCGAAGTTTAATTACATAAATAAATATGCATTCCTACTGCAAGAATCTCACTTAAAATGCATTCATCACTGCTTTTTATGAATAACTTTGAACTGAGAAAGTTGGCATCAAATGTAACAGATCAATTTAATTACGGGTGTTCAATTTATTGAAAAGATAAGTAACATTTATATGTCTTCGCGACTATCTTTAAAACGAGATTAGTCGTGACTATACTGATGCATGATAAATTCTTATTCAAAGTTTTCAATAAACATACTAAGCAACCTCCACTTTCTAAAGTAGTCCGATTATTAACTTACCAGGAGGCGGACGGTAACGTTCGGGTTCATAAGCTCCACTGAGTTCTATTAACGATCTTGATCGTTTTTGCGGCCTTGGTAGCCTGAAGTAGAAAATTATCAGTTAGTTTTATTTGAAGAAAGCAAAAGATCAAGCGTAAGTTGTCATAAAAAGTATATCATATATTACTTTTTACCATATATTTATATTTAAACGAACTAATGTATAGATATATGTTAACATAGTCTCACCTGCTTAACTTCTTGGCCTTATTTTCTTGGCCTGTCTTTTTAAGGTTTTTATGCACTTTCGTGACATTGTCACCCAAACTTTCACCGTCTGAAATGCAAACATAAGAATTTCCTGATAGAAATAAATATTGACAATTACTTTTAATTGCTGCTTTTATAGACTGTCGATAAGAATTCGCTAACTGAGATTCTTTCACAAGTTCTAAGAAAAATAATATTTTATACATTTCGGCTACCATTCAGAAACCTTTTAGTTTCATCACTGTATGTAACTTTCGTAACATTCCAAAACCCTCCTTGAGACATGTTTCTATCAGATATAACCTTGAGGGATATAAAGACTTAACTAAACAAAATTACCGAATATTCCAGTCATAAGATTTCCAGGCTGAATAAATTTCTGTGCAAAAACTTGTAAGTAAAATGCAGTAATTTCTGACCTTTGATGGATTTTCATTTCGTTAGTGACCCAGGGTGTCCCCGATGAGTAACGTCAGAAGTGGACCTCGCAACTGTCTAACTCGTTGAAGTAGTTCATGCTGTCTTTCAGTGTCCAATATCCACAAGCTTTCACAAGCTTATTATTTCTTCTACAAACATTCTTAATATCTAGTCAGCTTTTATATAGTTTGTTCCTCCACTAACCTGTCCTAACTCAGTTGAGTCTATGGAAGTGTTGAGGTGATTGGTTTGTAGTATGCTGTGCGTCAGCATCGCGCAGCTGCTGTGAGTGGAGTTAATTCTTTCACCAGCTTGCTGATAGGTGTGGTCAAAAAAAGAGATAACGTGCATAGCGGAATAATATAGACTTAGACATAAAAAGTTAAAAATAAATGGATATATGTATACGTATGCAATAACCACTAAAGAGTGTATGAATAGGCAGAGTAATCAGAAGAGTAATACAAGGAACGTGTAGCAGGAGTGGAGCATAGGTTTAGATTATACGCAACAATAGGGTAGAGAATGTGAGTTTCAAGGTAATAGTTCATTTGGACACAGTCAGTGTGTCGTAGTATAACTCTGCAGACTCCTCTTAAAGCCTTTCACTGATGTCTTCCGGATACAGGAAATTCGAAGGGAGAAGTGTCGGAAGGGTACTCAAGACTTTCCTCCCTGATATATGTATGTTTTATGCAAGACAAGAACAGGCTCATGAGAGTGAGAGAGTCTGTACACTAAGTGTATTACCACGTGTGGTCTAGCCGCATCACCCCTATAGTCCAGGCTTGTACTCAGTTTTTATGTTAGAGGGAGACGTAGGTCCCTATCTGATGTTACACAAAGAAGGTCGAAAAGGAAGCGAATTACTCTCTGAGTCATCCGGGCACTTATCAGTACCAATCTGCACTTTTCTAAGGTTGAAATGCATACCACTAATCTGTGTCCAGTCTCTCATCTACTATGTTTGTCACTAACCTGTCATAGGATTCCGAAAATTTAGTTGCTCTCCGAATCTCTGTGTCATTAGATTAAAGGGCCGTCTACCACTGCGGTATTTCTCGTAAACATTTGCAGTATTACATGAAACTTTCGTTAAGCAACGCAGGACCCATGGTTAATGGATGGAGCTGCAGTGATTTAGTCACGGAACATGTTCCATAGATTCAAAAAGGCGCCAGGCAGTACCTTGTTGTTTTCTTCTCCACGGGAGGGAGGATGATAGATGCTATCTAATAAATGCATGGTGTGGCGCACAGGGAAGTGGCACCATATCGAGTCTGGGTGTTCACCAAGTGGTTATCTGTCGCCCACACGAATCCAATCTGCTTGCTGAAATTTAAGGCAGCTCCGCGTCTCCCTTGTGGTCCCCGTCCTGCCTCTCCAGGACCATATCACTCGTACAGACTCCAATGTCGACGGCAGTAAGGGTTAACCATGTCTCAGCCAGTTTTTTATTTCCAAATTCACGAGGGTTTAGAGGTGTCTGAGTTCCTCTGTGTGTCCTCTCACACATTTCACATTGCCGCATAGGCTACTGATAGTGAGTCTTACAATCATGCCTTGTTTGGAGGTTAACGCTAAGTGGGTTGTTATGTGATGAGTTCATGTTCGAACTAGTTTGCCAATTTTTATGGAACCCGCCGATTATTTGCTTTACTTCGGATTCTGTTCAGATGGTCGTGTGACACTTGCTGTTGTCCTCTCCAGTGTTGTACCGTTGTCGTGTTACTAAAGCATTAGGACGCATCTTTACATCAACACTCAGCCTCCTTAAGGTTTGAAATCAATTTTTGAATCACCGAATATGTGCGTCGGTGGCACAGTGGTAGAATGCCTGTCAAAAACGTAGGCGGTTCGCAGTTCGATCCCCAGCCGACGCACTCCTTTACGTCTCTAAGCCAGTAATAAGGCTGGTAAAGGCGATGGGTTGTGCATGAAGCTAACAACCCCGTCTCGTAAAAATAAATACCATTGCTATCGAAACTTCAAGCCTCTAGCTTGAAGCCCTATGTTACAGTGGGAACTTAAAGGAATAGAAAAAGAGAATATGTCCGCTAACCTTACAGCTTTTCTCATACCAGTGTTGGAGAACCATAGTCGGTTGCTCTACGGATTTGGATTTAATAGCCAGTAGCTATGATGAGCTAACCGAATTGATGTCAATGGGACAATGCAGTCCACAGATAGAGAATGCTCCAGACTCCCCAAGGGCCATATGAAAAGACAGCCGCCCCCACCACTGTACACTCCGTGTGTGTTTTTATTCAAGGAGTGCCTATCGTGCTTGTCCATGTAGGTATAGGGCATTAGTTCCGATGGCTTCCTTGCCATTTGAGTTCCTGCCAGTGACCTGTTCCATCGTATTCGTGTGCCAGAAATTGTGTTTTCAACCAGGACTTTGAAAGGCAACAATGTGTTTCCACAATCTTTAATGGAACTTTGTTTTACAATCAGGGGGTGGTTGCCATTTTTATGGTGCCTTAGCATCCTCGCACAGCCTACACAACTCTACAAGCTGGATGCTAAGCTCAAGCCCGACACATAAATAAGACTACTCTACTTGATCAAACAGTTCTCGTAGACTACTGATATGCCCTGACATGGTGAAACAGGATAAGACAGTTTAATCGACTAACTTCGGTCTTAGGTCCAATAACTGGCTGCTTATCTTCGTTTCTAAGATCAGCAACCATAAATTTTAGCATCCTACTATATTGTAGCACACTGCAGAGTTCATGTTTGCCTATGGATTCAGACTGGTTTTTTGCAGGATTAAAATTACTTGCTACTCGCATCAAGACATTTGTGGTGTTTGTCTGAATAAAGCCTTAATTTTTTACGACCTATTGTATTTTCGGTTTCACAGGACTTTCCTTCGTATCCTGGTGAGCTGGAGAACCCCTTTCTTGGCTGCCATTGGGAGTGTGTTGTTTTGTTTTCCAGCAAACCTTCGGGCAGAAATGTATCAGGACAACAGAGCCAACAAATACAACAAAGCAACGGTTATGTGTTATTTTGTATGCACTCATGGTGTGGCTTCGGCACTCTTTTGTCACACCTTCAGTGCGCCCATCGATGGCAAAAACTGCACGCGAAAGACGGAACTATGGACGTGGAAGTCGTCGCCTTTTTCAGAAAAAGCCCTCGAGATCTTGATTTTATGACGCCTGGGATTTTTCCTTTTAGTCTTATATAGTGCTACAGGATGGTTTCACATGGAAACATGCGCGGTTCTGTTTTTGTTGTTACGTTATCAGGATATGTGGATATCGACTTATTAGGAAGACGTGGATCATTATTATTGTATCCTTTAATTCCTAGAGGAACACAGGGCTTCAACCGTGCGTCTCCTTTGAGTTCGGTTCTCTGCTAGAGTCTTCAACTGGCTCCATGTCTGCCCACATGCTTTCATCTCCTCTTCACATGAACTCCTCCAAGTCACCCTCACACTGACGACCAACTCGCCGCTTCCATTTAGGGTTCCACTCGAGCAATGGCTTGTCTAGTGATGTCACTTGATGGTTTCCTCAGAGTATGGCCAATCCACCTCCATTTCTTCCTGCCTATTTGTTTCACAATCGGTTCCTGCTGTGTTGGTTGGTTCGCTCATTGCCAGAGATCTCTGTTGCTGATCTTTTCTGGCTGGCCATCTGATCTTGAGTATTGAGCGAAGACAACTGTTAATGAAGGTCTGTAGTTTGTTTGAGATGCTTTTTATGACGCGCCAAGTCTCTGATAAGTATATTAGCACTGACTTCACATTGGAGTTGAAAGTCTGGATCTTATTTTTGATGCTGAGTGCTGGGTGTTGACCTCCACACAGACTTGAGAGTAGTGAAAGCTTAACTTGCTTTTCCGATTCTTGCTTTGATATCCTCGTCAGTTCCGCCTGTAGTTGAAACGATGCTCCCCAGGTAGGTAAAAGAGGTTGTTTCTTTCAAGTTCCTCCCATTTATGCTGATTGTCGTCTGTTGTTGTTGTTGCTACTGTTGCTGTTGGCCGGGAATCTTCATCACCTCTGTTTCCTCTATGTTCACCTGAAGTCCTATCTTTGATGTTTCGTCTATCGTCAACTTGTTGCTTTTCACCTGCATATCTCCCATTTAAGGAAAAATCAGACATTTCATCGGCGATGTCCAGATCCTCCAAGTTTCTTGCATGGGCCCATTTTATGCCTGTCTGTTTCTGCGTTGCCCGCTGTCTGTCGCATTATCCAGTCTACTGCAATCAGGAAAATCATTGGCGATAGTAGGCAGCCTTGTCTTACTCCTGTCATGTGGATTAAGTGACCAGATATTTGCAACTGATGTGTGCAACGGCTTTAATGCCACTGGTTAATTAACTCTCCTAACCGAGACTCTAGTAACGACAGATTACATAATAGTCGTGAACTTTGTTAGGTGTGAGTTTCCTGCCACATTACAACTCATTGTCATGCGGGGTTAGAAAAGTGAAAGAGGTAATAACATAAGTTTTCTAATAGTAAAGAAATAAAAGGGTGACAGAGTGTACAAAAAAGGTTCTCGACTTTATCTTGAGCCCTCAAGTGACCCAGCTTCACAGTAATCGCGCCGCAGTCCCAAGAATCTTGTTTATTTGTTTAAGTTGGAGAGATGATGTTTCAAGCGTAGCACTTGGTTCGAGACCACTGGACTTACGACAAAAGTTGGACGTGATAGTGTAGTACCTCTATATTAACTCAAATCACACGCTTATGAATCTAATTTATGTGCTCATGTTATACATTTACAGAAAGTGATTTTACATATGCTTGTCGAGTAATTGCCGTTGCACTGATGAACTTTAGTTTTCCTTTGTTATATATATAAATATATATGGTGCAGGTTCGTACACTTGCGTTCGTCT